TAATATTTAAAAATAAGAATTATATTATAGTAGTATTTAATTTTATATTATAAGAAAAAATTATATATTACTTATAAATTAAAAATAGACAAATTTAAAAAATTTTTTAATCAAAAAAATTATTTACAAATTTTTGGTGAACTTTTTAAATAGTAATTTTAAGCCTATAGTTTTTAATACAATATTTTAGTTTATATAAAGAATATCAATTTTTATTAATAACATTTTTGCAATTTAGACTACACAAATAAAATTAATTAGTTCTCATTATATATTAAGACTAGTAAGCATATGGGACCTGGCTATTTTTGTACAGATATAAAAAAATGTTATATAAATTTTTTACTAATAAAATCTTAAAAATTCGTTGTACATACATACAAATATATGGCAACTATATAGTATGTCATAATTTTTATCAGTTATTAGTTATTTTTACATATAGTTGTATGGATTTTTGCAATTATTTGGTAGCTCTATGCAAGAATTTTGATTTGACTCAAGACAGTTATCAAGTATTGTTTCAGGCCAACAATAAACTGAAATTTTATTTGCTTATGCTCAAGGATAATTAAAAAACAATAGCAACAGCTTATTTATTGTATTATTAGTCAATGAGTTATTCCAAATAAAGTGATTAAGGCTTTATATTCTGTACTGTATCAAATTGAGCTTGTTATTTTGTAATACAAAATGTATGTATATATATACATAATAAAAATCACTATGTATAAAGGTATAAAAGTGCATAATTGCACAAGTCAATAGATGTTTGTTGAAATTCAAAAAGGAAATATCAACAATAGCACTAAAATATTAATTATTAGTTGGATTTTCTCTTTGAATTCAGTGCATATCCAACAATATAAGCTCTAACAATCAAAAAGTATAAAAATCAAAGCAACCTTTAGTTTTAATCCAATAATTTTTTTTTAGATTACCAACTACATTTTTGTCTATTTGTGAATAATAGATTTTTTTTTCTCTTATATTATAATATCATATTTTCCAAATTATGATTATTTTGTGTAAATGTAACTTATTTACAAAATTGTACAGACATCAGCTTCTTTATTGCAAGTATCCTAGATCTTGTATTCATTAATTTGTACTATAATTTCTTAATTATGTATGCACTATGCATGATGCAGCAAAACTTTTACCTTTATCTTTGTCTTCAGTCTATTGACTATTTAACTCAAAAAAATAATTACAGCAATACTTTTTTTTTTTACGATATTAGTAATAAATATACAAATTATTCAAAAATCAAAAATATTATTTGGTTGAAAAGTAATATCAATACAAACTAACATTATAATTGAATAATTTTTTTTAGAATTAGTATAAGAACATATGATAAATGATTATTTAGATTTGGTTAAAAAAATCAAAGTTTGATGTAGAAATTTAAAAACTGCGATTAATCAGAATATTGATCATGCATGTAATTTGTGAGAAATTGCATTAGACTATAGAAAACATTTTATTTTTCAATTACTTATATCACAAACAACCTCACCAAGTCACCAATATATAAATCTCTTTGAAGTAATGTTTAACACTCAAAATTCTATTACACTTTCAATATAGAAACTCAGTACAAAACCAAGTAAAAAAGAACAACTACAAAATGATATAGTAAAGTAAATTAAAAAAGAAAATAGTGGTTGGAGAGAACTAGATATGGCTAAGATGATTGGCAAACCATTCATACAAGATTTAACTAATATGCTATAGTACATTGATAGATGTAATAGTAATACATTTACTCAATGATACAATTTATCAAAAGTCTTTAAAGACTTTATAAGATATAACAATCTACAATATTACAAATGAGCCTGACCTAAATTTAGTACTAAAGAACTTAATAAATATAGTAAATGTCTTCTTAAATATGCTACCTACTCGTAGATGACAAGGTTACTATTTTCAATATTTCTTAAAGAATTAATAATAAAACTCAGTGAAGATTTCTTCAAATATGTGGAATATCTTGCCTATAAGCATATAGAAACATTTCAAAACCAAGAATTTAATTAACCTATAATTAATAAATATGATAATAGAGAACTAAAAATATTCAAAGCAAACAATAAATATAAACTAGAGAATACTATAAAATACAAAAGCCTTTCCTTAGCATTACAAGAAAAACAATACTGGCAACCAATTTTGGCTGATAACTTTTGCTTTTCAATGTCACATATATGAGTATTTTATATACTATAAAAAAAAAATCAAAAAACTAAAAACTGTTTTATACTGTGCCAAATACTTTGGCACATAGATAAGGATGCAACTGAAGAAAAAATATCAAATCAACATTATAAAATCAGGACAAAAATAAAAAAAATTATTCCTATTTATCATATATAACACATGCATAGAGAGTATATAGACATATATGAACTTTATCTAAACAAATAACTAAAAGCCAAATTGCAACATATATATAAAGAATTAACAAATGATGCTTTAGCTGCAGAAATAGCAAATCAGAAGAAGATTGATAGGCATGTCAAATTGGCTTTTGAACTAAATAATTCTAAAATAATTAGTGATCTTAGAGAACTTAATAAAGTTCATCTAAGTAAATATGATGAATTTTGAGTTATAAGCAAAAAATTTTTGAAAGGTATTGCACAAGAAGCCATAGTTGCTATTGATGAAAGAAGACATAATTTGATTATACATCTTGCACAAGCTATTTCAGTCTGTGATTTTTGTGATATGATAATAAAAAAAAGTACAAAAAACTAATCTACAAGCACTAATTCCATTAACTCAATGGCTTTACTTACAATTTTGGCCAACTACATCTACAAATAAAAATAGTTTACAATATACTGGTATTTTATTTGTTAAATTTATGATTCAGACTCATCAGCTTCAGTATGATCATGTTGATTTGCATTATGTGTTAGCATTATTTTAATATTTAAAAGAAATAACAATCATGTTTTAAGATGAAGCTTAGCTTGTTTTTATAAATGATAAATACTACTGTAAAATTGGAGAACCTGGTTATCCAGTCATAGCAGTTGACTGTAAAAAATAAGTACTTGTTAATTAGAACACAACATTTGTTGTTAGTGACTATTATTTTACAAAATGTAGAATTATTTCAAGTGTTACAATGATATACAATATACCTAAAACAATTGAAGAATCATTTTATATTAGGAAAGTTTACATTAAGCTAAAAGAATATATATTCAAGCCATCAAGTCCAATGCAACACATCACAAAATTATATAACATTTTGAAAAGTACTAATAATGATAAGCCTTATTTATTTATTTATACTAATAATAGACCAGACCATCGAGTAAATTTCCTTCATGTACAATTTGCATTAATTGCAATTTTTTTAACTTTGGATCTTGATTTTTTGGTTACTATTCAGACACTCTCAGAATATTCATGAAAAAATCTGGTTAAATACATTAAGTCTATCTTAAATCTTGAATTGCAATGTGTTGGCCTAATGAGAATTGAAATAGATAAAGAATTAGAAAATTTGATAAAAAACTGCAATATAATAAATGAAATTCATAAAAAAGCAAAAAAAGTACATCAGCTTAAGGAAAGAATAATTAAGAGCCTGCAATTTACAAAAACTATTATACAAAATATTTTTGAATAATTGAAGCTCAAAAGAGAAAAATTTTCTATATTTGAATCAGCAACAGAGCAAGAGATTAAACATTTGTAAGAGTCAGTACTTGAAATAGATAATTCATTAGTACCTGAAAATACATCGAGAAAGCATATTAAAAATAAGATCAGTTTTAGAGATGCTAGTAAAATTGAATTCATTAATATCTTATTTGCATGAAATAATAGCTGTGGGTGTTATTTAACAACACATAGTTTGAAGAGAGCAATTAATTAATTTAGCTGATTTTAATAACAAGAAATTATGATTTGCATTCAGATAAATTAATTATAAGTTTTTTTAAAACTATTTTTCTAAAATAACACCTATGTAATATTATTTTATACTATAGTTTAATTTTACTAGCATCTTTAGTCAGTTTCAATTTGCAAAAAAAATTTAGTATAATTGTAATTTATAAATGCATATATGTATTTAGTTTTGTATTCTTGAATTTATAAACTATTATTGCTAATCAAGAACTTATTTTTTTGAAATTAAAAAATGTCAAGCAGCTAAAACTGGTTGTATGATTTGTAAACCACTATAAAGTAAATCTGATGTATTTGAAAGGTTGCAACCTTTTTCAGATCTTATTCCTAAAGCAAATAAAGATCACTTTACATTATTTTGTAAATTATATAATAAGAATACTAGTGAAAATACTGTTTATTTTTACTCCAAAAAGTCAACTTGCACATATCATCATTAACTACTATGGCTATTGATAGTCTTGGTACCAATGGCTTGAATTTTAGCTCCCAGACACAATATGCAACAAATATGCATGTTCTGGTCAAGTGTATTAAATATAATTAACTACAAGTGCTCTATTCACAATATTATTTAAGCCTGAAGCAAGAAAATCTTCTCAAAAACTTTATAGAAACAATTGATTACATGTGTGGTACAACATTTTATAAAATTTTAGATTTTACCAAAGCAAGTTCATCATCAGTTCTAAATAACAATAATCAAACAATAGATATTAATACAAATAATAATAATGACAATAATATTGATGATATAGAAAAAAATACTAAAAAATTATCTGTAGAACAACCTGATGAATTATCTATAGAACAACATGATGAATTATCTATAAAACAACCAAATAAATCACCTGTAGAACAAAATGTGAATAATGATATGTCATCTTTAGAAACATTATTTAAGCACATGTTCATGAATGCCAAGCTTATCTGCTTAACATCTATAGAAGTTCCATACTTCTCTTGTTATCTTTATCCAGATGTTTGTTTTTAGTATAGTAATGCAGAAATCCTCTTACCAATGCCTGCTAGTGAACAGCCATATTGTTATAAATGCCATGCTTCAGTCAAAGCTAAAAAAAAAAAAGTATTAAATTTAAAGCAAAAAAAAGAAAACAACAAAGATGTTAGTATAAACAGAAAAGCTTTTATAAATATGCAATAAATGTTAAATAATAAAGGATACTATGAGTATTGGTTTCACAATGCCATGTATAACTAGATTAGATATCATTTAATTAATATAAAATAGAAATATTATTTTAATGCTATAAAAATAATAGTTTACAATCAAAAAATAAAGTATCAAATATCAAAATCATTGCAGAACTCTTCCCATCGATCATTCAGACACAAAAAATAGCTAAAGAAAAAAAAAAATTTTAGCAAAATTATCAATAAAAAACACCTCAAATAGCTCTAAACAAAAAGAAGCAGCAACAAGGAAAGCATTAGA